CAGCTACTCAGGTGACTGAGGCAGGAGAATTGCCTGAACCCGGGAGGTGGAAGTTGCAGTGAGCCAAGATCCTGCCATTGCACTCCAGCCTGGGCAACAAGAGCAAAACTCCATCTCAAAAAAAAAAAAAAGTAATATTTTCTTATTTAATGGTAAACATATCTCTCAGTTGGGCTGGTGTCAATATAATGTTAACATCAGTGGAGTTAAGAAAAAATGACTTAACTAAGATATCCTTTATTATGAATTTTAGTGGGTTATTGATTAGGACACCATGCTGTGCCATGTTGGAATGTACAGAAGCTATGGGATCAGATGGGTTTTGGTTTACATATCAGATCTTCTACTTATTAGTTACGTGACTTTGAGATGATTGCTTAGTATTTTAGTGTATGTAGTTCCTGGAACTCAAGTAGCAGGCATTCAATACTCTATCATTGTCCATTTTCTTTTTTTATGATGAAAGAAGTGTTTCTGTTGTGTGAACGTGCATGGATTTCCCAAACTGTATTGGATTGTAGAAGTCTGGATTTGGAGGATGACTGAGCGAATCCACTTCCCCCTGGTGAAGGACCTCGGTGTGTTGATGGCTGAGGCCTTGCTTGTGTTGTCATTTTCACCATCAGCTCCGTTTACTTTCTCCGGCGCCAGCAGGAGGAGCAATGGCAAACAGCACATTATTAGTCACTGTTGCACTTGCCACCAACATTTCCAACTAAAAATATGTATTTTAAACTACATGTTTGCTCATCTTAAAGAGTTAGATTATAAACTGTTAGAAATCAGGGACTATTAAACAACCATTTTCATTTGCAGTGGATTCAGAATATGATCGTCTTGAGTTTGGAAAGGATGTGTCCGTGAATGCCAAGCGAAATGCTGTGCAGTTAGGAAACACGAAGCCTTCCCTGCCTTCTCCAGCCATTCTTAAATGGTCCTTTTTCCAAAGCTGTAGCACTTTACACCTGCAACTGGGGAAAGTGGGATTCCAATTTGAGCCTAAGATATGCTGTCAGTGGGCTTGAGGTATATCTGGCCTGCTGAAAGTCTGTTTTCAGGAGGCACTGGAGAGCCTCCTAGGAGACGGTTCATCTTAGGGAAGGGGGCACCGGGCCCAGAGATCTCAATCAGAAGTGGGAAGGGAGGACTGATTCCAAGTATTGTGTGGAGTTTTTTAAAAGCTATTCATGCTCTAAGGACCAGGCAAAGGGTAGGGGATGGGCAGGGAAGGAAGTGTGGGCTGACTGCAGGTCAGTAGGGATTATGGGGAAAAAAATGGAAGTGGTAATTTCCCTTCCAATAACAGCTGAAGACTTTGGAGCCAAAGTAACATGCTTTGGTACCAGCTGGAAAGGTACTGTCTGACTGAAGCCTGGGTGGAAAAATGTTACCCACCCATGCCCAGAGCATAGTGAACCTTCAGCACCTTGAGGCCACCAGCTTATAGGCAGCAGGAGTGCCAGTGGAAAACTGAGGTACCCAGCAAAAGTGGCTCATACCTGTCATTCCAGCACTTCGGAAGGCAGAGGTGAGAGAATTGTTTGAGCTCAGAAGTTCCAGACCAGCTGGGCAACAAAGTGAGAGACTCCGTCTCTATAAAAAATTAAAAACCTTAGCTGGGCATGATGACTCACACCTGTATTCCCAGCTACCCAGGAGGCTGAGGCAAGAGGATTGATCGAGCCCAGGAGGTTGAGGCTGCAGTGAGCTGTGATTGCACCACTGCACCCTAGCCTGTGTGACAGAGCAAGACTTTGTCTCCAAAAAAAAGAAACAAAAAGGAAAGAAAATAGCACCTGAATACGTTTAAATATAAACCAGCTCTAAACTACATCACTTCAAGAAGTAGCTCTTCAGCAGGCCAAGGGAGCAAGAGGCTGCTTTTCATAGCTTAGCAGACAGGAGAGGCCCAGTCTTCTACCGTGGAGAGTAGTTGGCAGTAAGAGGAAAGAGTTTGTGCCGTGTGGTCTTACCTGTGGGCTTACCCTTAAATTTTCCCTGGGACTTCCAAGAAATATCAGCAGGGAGAACCCATCAAGGGCTTTGGGGCTGGCATTACAGGTAGTGGACAGTCAAATATATGCTATGGCCAGCAAAATCTCGGCATGAGAATGAATGCACACTCAGGAAGTGGCTGTGTAGAAGGAAAAGGCAGCTGTGTGGGTAGGTAGGAAGGGCGTTTTCTGGGGAAGTCCTGGGAGAACAGAGAAAAAGTTCGATGAGGAAGGAAAGGTGCTGCATCACAGAACCATTTAGCTGCAAACTTCCTTTAAGTAGAATTTAAAGTAATCATGCTGTTGAGTATTTCTCAGCATTAAGTAAGCATACAGAATGCTTTTAAAGAAAATAGTGCTGGGCGCAGTAGCTCATGCATGTAATTCTAGCACTTTGGGAAGCAGAGGTGAGAGGATCGTTTGAGCTCAGAAGTTCTAGACCAGCTGGGCAACAAAGTGAGAGACCCTGTCTCTACAAAAAACAAAAGAAATAAAATGAAGTGAAAACTTAGCTGGGCATGATGACTCAGGCCTGTATTCCCAGCTACTCAAGAGGCTGAGGCAGGAGGATTGCTTGAGCCCAGGAGGTTGAGGCTGTAGTGAGCTGTGATTGCACCACTGCACTCCAGCCTATACGACAGAGCAAGACTTTATCTCCAAAAAAAGTAAAAGAAAAGAAAATGGTACTTGAAATACATTTAAATACAAACCAGGTCTAAACTACACGCAATCATATATAACCAGAAACAAACAAAAATGTACAATTAAGTACAAAAAAGATCTTCACATTAAATAGAACTTAAATTAGTGATATTAATTCATGGAATGAATGATTTTGTGTTGCTTAAATTAAAATCACTATACCTGGGAAAAATGTCATGTAGATGGAATCACACAGGAATTTTTTGTTTGTTTGAGATGGAATCTTGCACTGTCTCCTGGGCTGGAGTGCAATGGCGTGACCTCCGCCTCTCAGGTTCAAGCGATTCTCCTGCTTCCGCCTCCCAAGTGGCTGGGGAATTACTGGTGCCCACCCCCCACCACCAGCTAATTTTTTGTATTTTTAGTAGAGATGGGGTTTCACTATGTTGGCCAGACTGGTCTCAAACTCCTGACCTCATGATCCGCCCGCCTCGGCCTCTCAAAGTGCTGGGATTACAGGTGTGAGCCACCGTACCTGGCCCGCAAAGGAGTTTTGAGTTCAGAAATCTCCTACTCCATGTGCTGAGGGCTGCTCCAATTCACCCACCACTCCTAGCCATTTAAACTCCTGAAAGCAAAACCATTCTTGTGGCCATGTCCTTAATTTGCTTAAATTGGGAGGACTTGTTTCATTGGTACTAGCTGGGGGCGAAGTTGCAAGCCAAGGAAAAATCTGCTTGTCCTTCCAGCACCTGAACGCTATTCAGGGGGTACACTGTGATGAGAAGCAAGTAATCTGTGAAAGCCCAGAATGCTCTGTAAACAAATGATTTGGTGATGCTTTCCAGTGAACTTATGTAGCTGTCTAGCATTGTTACATCACAGCATGCATTTTCTGAAAATCCTTGAGACCCAAGAGAAAGCATCTGCTCATAAAATCTTTCCACTTTGCCATGTGCACTGGCTTTGGGGGTGGGGGATGGGGGTAAGGAGGCGCTTCAACTCTTTACCCACTCACATGAAGCTCATTCCGGGTGCTCTAACTCAGGAGGGTGTATTGTCAGATCTTTTTCCATGCCTTGCAGTGTTCAGAATTTGCAAAGAATTTTACCATCTGCTCTTTCTGTGTGCTGATGTCACACAGAGCAGCGTATAAGACTGTTCTTATCCCTCAAACTTTGCCTTTTAAGGAGAGGCACAGTTGTCCAATTTTAGGGATAAAGCAACTCCTTTTTTTTTTTTTTTTTTTTTTTTTTGCTCTTGCTCTCTTGTGTTCTTCCTGGAGAAAGGCTAGAGTCGGTTTCAAAGGATGGTTTTGAAGATCCCTGGCTCTGGGCATGAGGGTCCAGTTGAGCAGGAATCTTTGTTCTTTCATATGTTGGCTTCGTTTCTGACTCTGGAGGTGCTGTGAGCCTTTAAACTATAGGCTTGAGCTGAAGGTGGCTGCTTGCCTGTCTGCCCTGAGCAGAGCCGTTCTTGTTTTTCCTCTCCTTCTCTCTCTCTGTCTTCCATCCTGCCTCTGAATGCCTGTTGCTCCGTGTTGCCATCTCCAATCACAGCCCCCACCTCTGGCCACCCCTTCAACTGTTCTCCGCTGGTCTTTTTCTTCTCTTTGCCTTTGTCCCTTTTTAGGTTTTAATCCGTGTTTCTCATCTCTTGGTTAAATGAGTTCTTCTTTTAATCAGCATTTTCTGAGCCTGTGCAGGTTGCTATAACAAAATGTCATAAACGAGGTCGCCTAATTAATAACAACAGAAATTGATTTCTGACAGTTCTGGAGGCTGGAAAGTCCAAGACAGTAGTGTTGGGAGATTCAGTATCGGGAGAGGGTCTGCTTTCTGGTTCCTAGAAAGCGCCTCCTTCCTGTGTCCTCTAGTCTTTTCAGCTCCTTATAAGGGCACAAATCAATGAGTACTCCGTTGATGACTTAATCATCTCCCAAAGGTGCTACATCCTAATACCATCACATAGGGGACTGGGTTTCAGCATAGGAATTTAGGTGAGACACAGACATTTAGACTTTTGCCACCATTTGATCAGAATGTTCCTTTTTCTTTGTTCTCAATCATTGACAAACAAGCCATAGCCTGTCAGGGGTAATGTGGAGGCTGTTACCTCTAACTCAGGGCCGTGCAGGGACAGGACCTTCGAGTGTGTGAAGGCTGATTCTGAGCCCCAGTGAACTCTGTGTCAACAGTGCTAGAAGGTACTGATGTTGGTATCTTCCTCCAGAGGAAACTGTCCCTTGGGGCTCTGCTGAAATGCAGGCACAAAGGCACGGCGACCTTCCTGGGTCACAGGGGGACACCAAAAAGCATCTCCTCTCTGTCCGACTCCCCTCACGGCTGTTGTTGTCATTGGCAGGACTCTCCTTCAGCAACTCCAGAAGCTTCAGACTTTGGTGATGGGCAAGGTTTCTCGAACCTGCAAGTTAGCTGGCACGCAGACTGGCACCTGCCTCATGGTGAGCTTCCCGGCAGGGCAGCACAGTGACCAACGCTGGCCTGGCCCCTGTCTCCCACCTCCCTCCACTTGCCAAGGCCAAGTGCTGTGCAATTGGAGAAAGCATGTGGAGGAACTCCACTCTGAGGCTGTTCCTTTGTACGGCACTTCAGTGATGTGGATGTGACTCGTGAGTGCAGTCCACTGGCCTGAAGAGGAGAGTCTGTGTCCCTGGCTCTCTGAGGGTATAAGGTTATGCTGTCCAGAGCCTGGAGTCCGCAGCCCCTCATGTTCTCTCTCCCCACCCACAGGTTGTTGTGCTGTGCTTTGCCGTTGCATTCGGCAGCTTCTTTCAGGGCTACGGGCCCTATCCTTCTGCCACCAAGATGGCTCTGCCCAGCCAGCATTCCCTGCAGGAGCCCTACACAGCCTCCGTGGGTAAGACAGCATGCGGCAACTTGGGCAGGGTCTTGTTTTATTTCTCTAGAGCTGGGTTTCTCAGCCTTCCAAAAGGAATCTTCTGTGAAAGTCCAATGTTTAAAAAGTGGTAAAAGTGGAGCTTTTCCCTTTGAAGAGGCAAGTAGGGGTTCTCTTGGGGCCCCTCATCCACTGGGCTAAAGCATCACTGGGAATTCTCTAGAACTTGAAAGAGCACAGGTTGCAAACTGCTCTTCTAGACTGGGTTCCCTGATCAGTGCTGACATCCGATTTTTGAGTTCTGATAAGGGAGAGAGAAGTAGATGAGGGGAAGAGTATGTCACTTTCTGTGACATTTTAAGAGAGCCTCCGTATTTCTGCCTCCACTGAGTGGAATTGTATGAGGCCATGGTAAGGGTTTATAAAGTGAAATTAAAGAATCCGCCTGCCTTAACAAAACCTTATGCCCCCAAATCAGAGATTTGGGCACTCAGGTGTCAAGAAGTACATGGTTTTCTCATCTAGAAATAAAGGGATGAAGAGTAAAGAATACACACACAAATTCACACATACAACAATAAGAGCGAGCATGGAGTTAGGCCGTAAAGTAGTCCCCCTTATCTGAGGTTTTGCATTCTTTATGTATTTATTTTTATTTTTTTGAGATGGAGTCTCGTTCTGTCGCCCTGGCTGGAGTACAGTGGTGCAATCTTGGCTCACTGCAACCTCCAACTCCCAGGTTTAAACGATTCTCCTTTAGCCTCCCGAGTAGCTGGGATTACAGGCACTCACCACCATGCCCGGCTAATTTTTGGATTTTTAGTACTGGCGGGGTTTCATCATGTGGGACAAGGCTGGTCTCTAACTCCTAGCCTAGGTGATCTGCTTGCCTTGGGCTCCCAAAGTGCTGGGATTACAGATGTGAGCCACTCCGCCCTGCCAGGTTTTGCATTCTAAGCTTTCGGTTACCTGAAGCCAATGAACATACCTTCAGTTACCTTAAAATAGCTGAATGCACTACAATAAGAAATGCTACCTGCAGCCAATGAAAATAACCTGAAGCTACCTTAAAATAGCTGAATACACTACAATAAGAAAATTACCTGCAGTCAGTAAAAATACCTGCAGTTATCTGAAAATAGCTGAATACACCACACTAAGAAATTTTGAGAGAAGAGGACACATTCATGTAACTTTTGTTAGAAGATATGGTTATAATTGTTCTATTTTATTGTTAGTTTTTGTTGTTAATTGCTAACTGGGCCTAATTTCTAAATCAAACTTTATCATAGGTACATATGTATAAGAAAAAGCATATAATCTATATGCTATATACCCATATATAAACTCTATATGCTTTTTCCTATACATACATACCCCTTATATACCATATATAATCATGGTATATATATGATATATAAGGTATATGGTATATAAGGGGTACATATGGTACATATGATATATATACCCCTTATATACCCCTTAAATACCATATATAACCATATATAATCATATATATGGTATTTAAGGCGTATATATGTATAGGAAAAAGCATATAGAGTTTATATATGAGTATATAGCATATAGGTTATATGCTTTCTCTTATACATATGTATCTATGATAAAGTTTGATTTAGAAATGGTATATAAGGTATATATATATACCCCTTATATACCATATATGTGATTATATATATGATATTATATATATCATATACCATATATATGATTATATATGGCATATAAGGGGTATATATACCCCTTATATACCATATGTATGTTTATATATAACCTAAGGGATATATATACAGTATATATACCCCTTATATACCATATATAATCATATATATGGTTACATATATACCTTTATATATCATATATATGATTATATATATATGATTATATATATATGGTATATAAGGGTATATATGTGGTATATATAATCGTTAGGTTATATAGAACTCTTACAGTATATAAAACCTGTACAATGTATATACCCTTCTATACATTATATATATTATATATGGTATATAAGGGTATATATATATATATGATTATATATAGTATATAAGGGTATACATGGTATATATAACCCTTAGGTTTTATATATATATATGGTTGTGTATGGTATATATAACCCTATGGATACCATATATAACCCTTATACATATGGTATCCATACCATATATATAGGGTTCAGTTCTGTATTTGGTTTCAGCCATCTACTGGGGGTCTTGAAATATATACCCCATGGATAAAGGAGGACTACTGTATTGGATTTGGGATAGGGACAATTTTGCCATTTTGAAACGTCTGCGGTCTTCACCAGGCAGCTGTATCTCTGCCAGGTATGACAGAAGTGCCAGCATTCCAATTAAGTAATTTCAGTGGTCTCTTGGGAAATTTTCCCCCCAAGGGACTCTCTCTCTAAATTTAATTGGAAGCATAGTTTCTATGTCACGGAAAATTGCAACAGAGCCATCTAGCTGTGTGACCGTCCTATAAAGCAAAGGAGGTTGTCTCTGTCCTTTATGGTGTTGGCTTTGTGTCTCCTCTCCAGTTTCTAAATGAAATGCCCTGTACCTCATCTCCCTGCAAGATCTACTCACTGGGGATGCTTCTTCTTTTAGCTGGGTCTGGACATCTCCAAGTATTCCACTCCCATTCTCCATAAGTCATTTTCCCTAGATCGTTATGGGTGGTAAGGAGGGGAGTTTTGTATTTTCAAAGCAGTGGGAGTAGTAGTTTGCCTTGTGTTTATTTGCTTTTCTGTTGTTCTTCCAGCACTGTGTAATTGGTATAATTTCTCAATACACAAACTCTAAAGCCCTGAAGTCTTTATAGAAAGCCAAATCGTATTGATACCCACAGTTCTGTGCAATAAGAGCACATGAATTGTCATCTGCCACCAGCCCTGAGCACCTGGAGTGAGGGGATGTGTTGGACCCCTGTGGTCTTTTGCTAACACCTCCTTGTTATTCTGCTCTGTCCTCAGTGAGATCCAGGAACCTGCTGATCTACGAGGAACATTCTCCCCCAGAGGAGCCGTCCAGCCCTGGCTCGGCTGGCGAGCTGGGGGGCTGGGATAGAGGTTCCTCCCTGCTCAGGGTGTCAGGGCTGGAGTCCAGGCCGGATGTGGATCTTCCCCATTTCATTATCTCGAATGAGACCAGCCTGGAGAAGTCAGTGCTCTTGGAGCTGCAGCAGCACCTGTGAGTCAGAGAAACATGGATCCAACTCCTCCAGTGCCTGATGGCGGATTATGAGTCAACAACCTGGAATGTGAGGCTGAGACTCTCCATAGGCCTGGTTCAGTCCCTCAGCGCTCTCAGAACCTATCTCCAGGATCTAGGGCTGCAGAGACTCTGTTGCTGGCCAACATCTGCCCTGGACAGAGACGGGGAAACAGCCCAGCCCGAGCTCCCTTATGTCTACTGCCTCAGTGGGGAGCTGGCGTGGTGGCCCCAAGAAGTGGGAAAGGGCTTGAATCCCTTCCCCTTACTGTCTGCATCCTCCCTTCTAACCCACACGAGTGAATGCAGAGCCCAGGTTACCACAATGTATTTGCTGTGTAAATGCAGCTTTAAGACATGTTTTGTAGCTTCAGTGAGGGAGTAGATCTATATTATGCTACATGTCAATATATGTTTATGATTTAGATATAAATACACATGTGTTCATTAAAACTATAGATTTTATAGTTTTATACTTACAGATGTATGTTGAGGGGCACTGTTTCAGAGGCACTGGGCATGCATTTCCACATTGAAAACAGCCTCTATTTAGCTCCAATTCTCCATGAGTTGTTTCTCTTAGATAGTTTCTGGGAAAAATCCCTTTGTAAACATAAAGGCTTATGTGACTACAATGTATTGTCGTTGTGGTGGGGAAGGTCCCTGGGCCTGCACGCACGCTCCTGGTTACCTGTGGTCTGGTTGATGATTTAGCTGAACTCTGCTCCCGTAGCTCCCAGAAGTGAGGCTGTTCCAATGTAAATGGGAAAGATTTTGTTTCAGATTCTTCAGCTTTCATCCCCTAATCCTGCAGGGGAACATTCAGAATGATGTACTTTTATGTGTGCACATTATACATACATATTTAACATTTACTAGCACTTACTATTTTAAGCATTTTACAGATGTAAGGCAGGCTGAGTATCCTTTTTCTGAAATGCTTGGGACCAGAAGTGTTATAGATTTCAGATTTTGGAATATTCGCATTATCCATAACAGTTAAGCATCCCTAATCCAAAAATCCAAAACGCTTCGGTGAGCATTTCCGTTGAGTGTCATGTCAGTGCTCAAACATTTCTAGATTTCGGAGCATTTTAGATTTTAGATTTTTGAAACTGAAACAGTATCATACAAACAGTATCGTATAAACAGTATCATACAAACAGTATCACACAAATCCTTTTACCTACCCCAGGTGGTAAGACATCATTATTATTCCCATTATAGAGAAACTTCCCAATGTAGCCACCACTGGGATCTATGGAAGACCCAGCTGCCTGCTTACGTGGCTCTAGACACAATTTCTCTCCTCAGCTAAGCTGTTCAAGGCCCCCTTCAAATCCCATTTGTTCTGTGATGTCTCCTAGATAACAAAGCCTCCTGGGCCTCCTCTGAATGCTTACAGATTTTCTAGGTTGTTACACAGTTTAATAATGTATTTATTTTCTGTTATAGATTTATGTCAAATTAGCTCATTAAAAGTCTTTATCTGGATTATTAACTCTTCTAGACCACAGATCAGCTCTTACCATTTTATTTTCTCCTTCCCTGAGTTTAGCATAGGGCTGAACATCCTTAGTAAGTACGGTAACTGAATGCATCTCATAACAGATCAATATCAAGCCACCATGCTTATCCTCAGTAGGGTTGGGATGCCTTGGGTGGGGATAAAGGTAAGAATGTGGACCAGTGGAGAGGCTGGTTGCGGGGGACTTTGGAAATGGAGAATTGCTGCTAGGAGAGAAACGGACAAGAAACATGCCCAGTTCATCTCACCAAGTTGCAATCCCTGAATGATTGTGTCACACTACAAAGCATGAGAATTGTAGCTAAGCTGGTGACTAATACTTCCTTTTCCTTTCAATGCCTTCACAGGGTCGGCGCCAAACTGGAGGGGAATGAAACACTAAAAGTTGTAGAACTCGACAGAAGAGTGAACACCACTTTCTAAAGAGGCTGCCTGCACCCCCCCCCACTTTCCCATAACTCTCCTTTTACATCCCCAAACCACCTTTGTCATCAGCTTTTCCTCTTTGCCACCGGATCTTCATGAAGACATGGGCAAGCATTAGTGGCTTCAGATGGGAGGCCAGCCTGGGACTTCCCCTGCAGTGAGAGAGCATCTTCCCCTGGTCCACGCCCCTCCCGTGCAGAAGGGAGCCTGCCTCCCTCCCTTCCTTTCTCCTACTGCCATAGGAAATTATTTTAGGGGTTGGAGGTGAGACAAACAGGCTTGTTTCCACCAATAATGCCAAAAAGATACTGCCTAATGTGCACCTGTGAGGTGTGACGACCCCCCCACCCCTTTGAAGAAGAGATAGCTCTTGTTCAGTTGAGACCCCAGACTCTAGCCACACAAATGCCATGATGCCTGTTGGTATTTGGCAAAGCTCTGACCCGTGTCCTCCCTTGCTCACACTGGGGTCTCTGGTGTGAACACCCCCGACAGCAGCCCTCCACCCCCTCTGCCCCCAGGAGCCTCATGGATCGTCTCCTGCACCAGCACAGGCAGGCGAGGGCTCCCCTTCATGTTCTCAGGCCGCAAGTGCAATGCCTGAGGGGATCAGGCTTTTCCACTCCAGGCGAACCTGCCCCATCTTGTCGCTTTTAGGACCTCCCACAACCTGGTTCCCCACACATCCATAGTTCTGCCTCCCCGGCTTCTCCTCCCCACTTGTAAATAGTATTTATTAGCTCGTCCAGGCTTCCTGCTAGCAACCACACTGAAGAGATGGATGCCTCCTTTCTAGCCAGCAGAGTTTTCTGCTCTTTAGAGCTAGGAGGGCACCTTAGGCTCTGGGATATCCTATCTTTCCAGACAATGTTTGATTTCCTTTCCTTTTTTTTTTTTTTAAACTGGACTAATTACCATTGAAAAAGAAATTCCCTTGAGCATGTATGTGTCTGCCTCTAGGATGAGGTCAGAGCAAGAGATGGCACAGAATGCCTCGCTCAGGCCTGGGGCTCTGTGGCCACAAGCTTTTTCTATCCTGTTTTTGTGACAGAGAAGGGAAGCCCTGTCCCTGACAACAGGGGTTTCAGACAAGCTTGCTGGCTTGTTTTTCCAGACCTGCCTGGCCCCTCCTTCCTCCACACTTCCGCTTTGTCCTCCTTGTCCCCTGCCTCAGCAAAGCAGGTGGGATGGGGTAGGTGACATTTGTGTATCCACACTCTTAACTTTTATAGTCAGGTCTGGCTACTTTGCAGCTCGCCCAAAGAGATACAACCTAACCCCCAACCTACTTTTAGTTGTTTTTTTTTTTTTTATGATTAAAAGTAACTTTTGTAGTTTAAAAAAATCTTTCCTTTTTCATACAAATAAGAAATGGAAATTGCCTTTTTATTGTGTAACATAGAAGACAGACCCTCAAGTGTTTTTTCCTAGCTTGTGAAAGATTTTGTTTAGGAAATATGCATAGAGTTTGTATTTTACTTTTAGGAGCAGCTGAAATGCCTTTGGTTTTGCCTTCTCGCTCGCTTGCTCGCTCGCTCTCTCTCTCTCTCTCTCTGTCTCTCGCCCCATCCCCTCCCCCGCCATGGCATCTGCATTGTTACTGGAGCCTGTACTTAGAGGGATTAAGGCCACACCCCGGCTTCCAGCCCATATCAGGTACAGGATTTGGTGTTATTAACATTTGTCATCATACCTCATAATCGGGTCCCTGCTTTGTCTGTCTAGGCCCATTTGGGGCTCCCTGTGAGTGATCCCCCTCTCTCTGTGCTGGAGAGGGTTCCAGCCTGGGAAGCGGCCAAGTTCATCTTCTCACTGAGTGGAAGCTGAATTGCCCTGTGGTCTGGGTGGTTCTTGTTGTCCCTCACATTAGCCAGGGCGGAGACTGTCTGGGCTGTGCAGGAGGAGGGCTGCTGGCAGGTTCTGCCTCTGCTGCTCTCTGCTCCACTGTCTGCAGTCCAGATCCTATTGGGCCTGGCTGGTGTCTGGTAACCATGGGCCTGCACTGACCCATCCCCCTCTTTTAAACTGTCAGGTCTTTATCAAGCACAGGCAGCCTATAGGGCCCAAAGAAGGCAAAAAGATAAAATTGACTCAAGTAGCATTTGGGCAATGAGGAAGGAAGGGTTTCAAATTTAAGGGCAGAAGTGAGAGAGAGAATGAGCCAGCCCATGTCCCTGCTGCAACTGAACCAGATTGGGTTTTCAAGGCTCCCAGATACAGTCAGAGTAGAAAACAGAGGAGGGAGAAGATAAAGGAAACTTCTGGCCCCTGTCCTTAGTGCTTTGAGGATTTTCTTCTCTCCCTTACCTACCCTTATTTGACATCACTCTCTCTAGACCTCCAAACAGCAGGGCTCTGTCTCTGGGAAGCTATCCTTCCAGAGTAGAATCTGTGTAGAGACATGGGACATCAGCCAGAGAGCTCAGATGGCCCTTTTAAGGGGGTTCCAAGAACCAACATCACTGCTCTTTTAGATGAACCTCTGTCCTCCTCCCCTTGCTTGAGTGAGTTAAAGGAACTAACAGTTGTCCCTTTAGGAGGACAAAATGGGGTCAAGAGGGCACAGAAGAATTGTATAGCCCCAGACTGGTTCCAAATAATTAATGGATGTACATTTTTTATTGAGGGATTAAGACCAGACTATCAGTGGATTTGTTTTCCCTACCAAGTGGCCCCTTAGACTAGTCATTAACTTACGGTTAGCTCTGAAGATTTCAAATAGTGACAGACACTGGCTCCTGAATGTAAGTTTTGAGAAATACGAGTCTGTTAGAGGGGCCATAAGCCATAAAGAGTAAATCTGTTAATTAAAATTTTCATCATGTAAACAGGTTTCCCATTTCCCTTTCTTAGATTGCACTAGTGACGGAAATGTCTTGCAGAGATTCCGAGAACCAGTTTTTCACTGGATAAGACCTGAGTTATCCAGACCCCCTAGCGTGGTTCTTTTCACAGCTCTCGACTTCGCACTTAAAAAGGGATATTGTAAATGAAAGGCTGCAGTGCCAGTTTTAAGAAAGAATTTCTGTGAAGTGTGAGGACTCTGGAGTCTAGCTCGCATAAAGAGAGTGTTATGTAAAAATCTGACAGCCGAACTAGGTTGCTCTTTTTTGGCAGGGAGTGGGGATGAGATTTGACACCAATATGGGCAAGATTAGATAACCTTTTGGTTAATATAAATGATTTTGATTTGGAGACCTAATTTGTAGATTGTGAAAGCAGCTTTTAGTTCAACTTATTCACAAACCCCCTATGATGACCATGCTTTTTTTTTTTAAGTTCTGAACTCTCTCAGTTCAGCATGTGAATCTTATGTGCCCATAAAGTAGGGATGTTGAATTGGCTCTTCTTTGTTGTGGCAGTGAGTCAATGTCCAGCATTTTTTTTATAGGCGTCTTATTAAAATTGTTTTCCAGCATTTTATGGCCCCTCCCTCTCATGTTTTCAGACCCAGCAAAAGCATAGAGACAGAATCCAGAGGCCTCCTCCGGCCAGCTCTTCTGCACACATGTCATATGAGGTGTGAATCTGAGCACACTCGAGAAATGGAGACATTCCACCCCCAGTTGAATCATGGCCCATTCGTGCTGACCTGGCCAACACGGGGAGGGCAGAGATGGAAGAGAAGGCCTTCATCCTCTCCTTCATCGGCCCAAAGTCACTACAGTTGGTTCTGTTGAAGCCAGTGTTTAAGAAACCTAGGTTAAAGACACCAGCACTTCGGCTTGCTGGGCTGGCTGGACCTGTGAAGCCATGGGGGTCATTTTATTTGACCATCTTCAGCTGAGGCTGTCTGTAAACATGATAGAATAGGCCCCGCTGGCAGGGCAGTTATAGGAGAAAGTAGGTGGTGGTGATGTGGGGACTGTGAAGGATCCAGAGACAAGTCTTAGATGTTTCATTCATTCACTCACTCATTCATTCAGTTACGTCTCAGACTTTTCAGTTTCATAAGGAAGAGTGTTGCCTGAGGCCCTAGGGAATATTGAGGAATAGAAGGAATTGAGGAAATATTAACAGTAGTTATTCAAAAGACTCAAATGCTTATGCCCCCCTCTCTCCCTCCTTCTCTCTCTGACACACACACACACACACACACACACACACACACACACACACACACTCCTCTCTTATCTTAGATGCTCATTTGTGCTTTAAATGTGCCTTATATATGAATCCAGGATGACTGAGTAATCCCTCGTCCCTGGGAGATTTTGTATATATTCTTTTATTATTAGATTGAGGTGGGGGTGGGGGAAAGAATTTATTCCAAAGGCTCAAAAGTGGTTTCCTAAAAGTGAGCCACTGTCAGATTTGCACATCAGGAGAAAAGAAATAGGGTTATGTCCATTAGGAAAATCCCATTTTGCAGGAGTGCAATCACATCCAAAAAAGCAACCAACCAGGATTAAAGGTATTATAAATCCTCCCAGTGGAACATTTCTCAGGGCAAAGGAACGTGGCCCATTTGAAAATTAATGTTCCATGCCTTTGTGGTCGAAGGGTCAGCACTTAACACAGGAAAAAACTAGGTATTGTTTTGTTATTTGGACAACATAAAATTCAGGAATGTTTTATTTAGTCTTGTTTCTAGAAGGAAGGGAAATAATATGTCTTGAGCATTTACTAAGATGTTGGGAGCTGTGCTAAGAAAGTTTGAAGTCTTTCAGTTTTATAGATGTAGAAAACAAGAATGATTCTTGACCATGGGATGAATAAAGAACTAAGTAATATGGGACATGCAACAATTTCTGGACTTGCTGAGCCGATCCCTTCCTGTGGGCACACTGTAAACTTTTAAGTTTTCTGGGCAGGAATTACAGCACCTGCCCCCTGCAGTGGCCCTGCTGTGCAATGTTCACTGTTTCACTTCATGCTGGAGCAGTCCCCCAGGTGTCCATCTCCTATCTTTTTGTTCCAATCTTCTGTGAGTTCCAGCTTGCGGGCTTTCCATCTGGGGAAAGGAAAACCAGGGGTTTTAGCTCTGTTCTCTGCTCTCATCCTTTGTTCACCAGCTGAGTGAGAACACGAACTTTTTGCACCATGTACCCATGGCTTACACTACTTAGAAAATCACCTTTTCAGATAAAACACTTTATGAGTTCATGGAGAACGCCAGCACTCTTTGACAAAGCTGTGAGTGACCCTTTTTAAACAACGCTGAGCAGACCCTGGGCTATAATCAACGGTGAGCTTTAATGTCTATGCTGACAGGCTTTGCTCTCTTTTGTAACATGTTACGTAGACCAGCAGTGTTTAAATCTAAATATGTTGTGAGTCTGTTTTCTGTCCTATCGCGTTTTTTAAAATGACTTTATTCTTTATCACAGCTAAGTAAATACCAAAAAAAAAATATATATATATATATATATATATATATATATGCTTTGTAGGACACTTGTACTTAGTTTGAGGAAAAAAAATCGAAATTGTTATGCTTTTGTATTTCCATTTCTTTCAAATAAATATTTTTTCTTAAATAGTAAGATGTTGCCCAGTCTTTACAATCTTGGTAATCCGTTTTGAAAAGCATATTATTTTTTTTACAAGCATGGGTTTGTGTGTTATGTGCTGAACCATTCTTTCCTGGATATCTAGTTGGCCTGAAAGAAGAGCCTCAAACCAGAAATCGGTGTGTTACATAGGACTGAATCCGAGCCTTAGCTGGAGGAATATTGAGAACGTAATTGTTTTTTCAGGCAGCCACAGGAAGAAACACAGTATCCTCTAGAGACTTAGGCAGCCTCACTGCTATTTTCGTGTCTCCTCTCACTATTCCCTAACTAGATTTCAACTGTCTATGGATTTGATTTTGCTTTCCCCATCTCTGGTTGCTTCAGAAAGATCCTTTGGACTTGAGCCAGAAAGGAATGATCCTGCTTCCTATGAACAGTTGCAGATGATGTCTAATGCTCCAGAAATTCTGATGAAATGGTTGAGAAAGGTCAATGCATTCAAGCGGAGTAATCTTCATTCCATTACAATGTCTGGATCCAAAGGTAGCTTTCTTCACTCGGAGAGTGGGGGCTTGGTTTAGTCTCAGAAAGACTGCCTTGGGATGTTAGAGACTAAGGCAGGGACTGTGCTTACCTGGAAAAACAAAAGAAAACAAAACATGGGTTTTGTTTGTTTGTTTTGTGTTTTTTTCCTTAGCAGCGTGCCTAACCCTGCTCTGCTCTGGCCTTGAAGGTGCATGAATCTGCTGTATCTTGTTCTCCGCAGAGCACCTTGACATTCTATTTCTACACAAGGGAGCCTTTCCCTGCAGAGGCTTTGATGATTATGCCCCACTCTTTCTTTTGTGGGGAGCCTATTTCTGAAGCCCCCTCCTTCCCCTGGAGTATGCTGATATCTTTTCAGTGGTGTGTGGTGAGGGCAAATACTCAATGATTTGAGAATATTCTGTATTAATCATGCCTTTCCATTGACTAAATTTCTAATGCTTTGACATCTAGGGCCTTGCTGACCCTGGAGAGACCACCGCTGCCAGGGCTCACCCGTTCCTACCTTAGGAGTCTGCCTTTCATACACAAACCAACCAACCTGGAGCCCATAGCCCAGCCACCTCTTTTGTGGCCTCTTGTACTCTGGGCCACTCTCCTTCTGCCCTAGGTCCCCTAAGACCAGGTACCAGACAACTAAAGACAGTCTCTAGCCCCACAGCCTACTGAAATTATTCAAACTAGCCAATCTGAAACCTGTGTACCCTGCCTTGCCTGTTTTTTCCTGCGTAAACCACAATAAAAGCCCTTGCTCACATTTTCCCTCTGTTCCTCCTGCTTCTTGACCCACCCTGGTGCTTCCGCATGTGGCTTTGGGTGACATGCCCTCCCCTCTTGGGAACTATGAGTAACAAGCTGTCTTCTCTTTTCAATGGCCTCACCATCCCTGAATAATCATACCATAAAAATCTGCTGGCCTCACCACCCCTGAATAATCAAACCATAAAACCTACATTTTAGAATAAATATCAAATGAGAGACCGATCCCAGACTCATGGGCATCTGGGGTTTTACAGCTGGGCCTGCTGTGATTTAGTTTGAGGGAATACAGATCTATTATCTCTTTGCACACTAGTTGTCACTTTTGTTCTGGAGAGGAAAAGTGAGATCTATAGGGAGTAGTGTGGCCTTGTTCATGGGAAGAGAAAGCAGTGTCAAAAACCCTGGTCCTGTGCTCAGGTTCCAAGTTAAGTCATACTTGGTAACTCTAATGAGAGTCATAGAGGCAAGGAAATAGATCTAGTTGGGGGAAAAAACAAGTGGTACTCAGAAGATAGAGGTGTATGGGTTCTTGCACTAGTTATACCATTAACTTGCTGGCCTGGAAAAGGAGACACTATTGAGTGCCTACCATGTATCAGGAAGTTTTCATGAATTATCTCAAAATCCTGGGTTCAAGTGATCTTACCACCTCGGCCTGCTGAAGTACTGGGATTATAGGCGTTAGCCATTGCACAAGGCTGATATGAATTATCTATGATCTTATTTAATTCCTCCAAAATATTTAGGGGGGCTGCATATGCCCCCTTTTACAGTTGAGGAAATTGGAATGCAAAAGGAATAAGAAACTTACTCAAGGCCATCCAACAGATCAGCTGAAGATGAGAGGTTGAGTCTTGGGCTGACACCAAGTTCACAGTCTTTTAACTACATTCTGCAAGGTTGTAGGGCATTTAAAAATTATAGGTCAACTTTTCAACATTCAAAGGTTTTTTTTATTTAATAAATGCCTTTTTCTTTTTTAATTATACTTTAAATTCTGGGGTACATGTAAAGAACATGCTGGTTTGTTATATAGGTATACACATGCCATGGTGGTTTGCTGCATCTATCACCCCGTCATCCACATTAGGTATTTCTCCTAATGCCATTCCTCTCCTAGCCTCCTGCCCCCTGACAGGCCCTGGTGTGTGGTGTTCCCCTCCCTGTGTCCATGCTTTCTCATTGTTCAACATCCACTTGTGAGTGAGAACATGCAGCGTTTGATTTTCTGTTCTTGTGTCAGTTTGCTGAGAATGATGGTTTCTAGCTTTATCCATGTTCCTGCAGAGGACATGAACTCATCATTCAAAGACTTTTCATAAAACTCCAGATTTCCATCTTCTCTTGAAAGACTGGAGACATAGCAACTTCAAGAGCTGAAAGGTATCAGCCCCTGTGATGGCATAGTCATTTCTGGTGGCCAGATTTTCCCACACCCAAGCTGGCTCACTCATTCATGGTACTCACCTGGTCCTTCTGTCACCTGAATTCACTGCCTCAGGTTTAGATGTGGCTAAATTTTGGGGAGTGTCGAGATAGGGAATAAAGGCAAAGATCTTGAGTTGGTGATGGAACTAAGAGACGAGGAGGGCAGTTAGTTTCACCCAGAGAGGCCCGGGCAGGAAGGTAGCTTGGCTATGAGCTGTGGAGGAATCTGCACATTGGAGACCTCTCTTTTCACTACCTGAAAAAAAAAAAATTGAAGTTTGTGGTCTGGTCTGGTCTTCCCATTCTCAAAGATAAATCTGCATTAATCTCAAACATTATATTAAATAGACTACATGCATATGCATAAGACACTTCCCTGACCTGTTGATAACTCACATGTATACATTGGTGTGTATTTCCAGACTCCCAATAAAAATACGAATATGGAGCTAAATGAGTATTTACATATTTAGTTTTTTTATAAAAACAAAATCATTTTGTACTTATTGGTTTTGTGACTTATTTTTCTCCACCAAACAGTGTATCATAAAATCATTCTATGAGAATCAGTATTAATCTACAGCATCATTTGTATTGCCTGAATACTTTATTATTTTATATAAATTATTATAATTTATTTATTGTATAACATTGGGAATTTGGGGTTGCTGTCTCTCTTTTTTTTTATTATTATAAACATGTTGGAAAGAGAAACACAAGTATACTAAACAATCTTAATGATGTCACTTTTCTAGGACCTTGTGCCTTGCAGCAAGTTCGTCCACATGTTCTCTGCTGGACTGGCTGATCTTCCGTGGGGAGGGTGGAACAATCATTGTTGTCCCTGTTGCTCAAATGAGAAATAGAGGCTGTAGAGGTGTGACTTGCTCTGAACGAGTGCAGAGCGAATCAGGAACCATCTGTCCTGACTTCCATCCTTGTGCCATTTCCATTAGCCATGCCTCATCTGGGCAGGGAACACTCACTGTCCAAGTCATCCATGACCTTTTCATGGAGTTTCATTTATCCATGAAGTGAACCTGTTTTGTAAGATGCCAATGCCATGCTCTTTTTCTTAGTATCCTCAGGATTGAGTTTAACCCCGGATTGGAGACACACCCAAAGGCGTCTGTCTCTAGAGAGGGAAGAAGGAAAGTGGTTCGTCTCAGTCATTTCCTGCAAAGTAGTCCACATCACCGTCCCAGAATCTGATTCCATGTGATCCTCATCATTTGACGGGGCTGAGCAGGTTGCACAAGTTGATGTTGTCTTCCAATGGTCACAGCTGTTGCTAGATAGTTTGGCAATTTTAAAGAAGAGTTCTGGCCTGATGAGGAGTCCATGTGTTCTCCTCCTCCCTCTATGCTGTTGTTTTTAGATGGAGGGACAAAAATATCCATTGAGGAATACCATAAAAGCTGCCAGAGAGGCTGTTGTACTGTTCTTTGAGAAGTCTGTTTCAAAATGTTTAATGTTTCTTAAGTGAAAAGAATTTGGGATTGAGGCTGCCAGTTCACAACTAATGTCCTCCCCAGTATCACTGCAAAACAGATGGTGAGTTCAGTTTCCTAATGGGTACATGAGAGCTTCTGTGTGCCTGGGCTAGTTCAAAGAAAAGATCTCCTTGAAAAGAAAAATTCTAAATGTAAAGCAACCTACATAGTATTTAGAGATCTCTGGGACAGGAGAGGGATGCTCAGTCCCCACAGTGTTTTCTTTCTTGGGTTAGTTATTGTTTAAATTAATCTTTCAATGGTTAATGCAGCTTTTTGTCATGGGTCAAGATAGTTTATATTGTAACAGAACACAGAAAATACAGTTTAGATGGTATTTGTGCTAGCGTACAAATAATTTCATGCAACTGTACTCTAGGGGCAAGACTTGACTGGGGGATGTATGTTGAATTAGGACAGATGTTGTAGAGACAGTCGGCATTAGAGAGTGCCATTTATGGAATAATCAGGGAAAATAAAGAGGTAGAAATAATGATATTGGGACCAATGGCAAAATTCTCCTGTAATACAACTAAATGATAAACATTATTGTGGTGATATTGTACATAGCTTAAAATATTAGAGAACTAAAAAGCTCTTGTTAAAAAATGGAGGTACATTGCTCTTTTTCTTTTCCATCCACAAGTCCCACTGCTTGGAAGTAACCA